CTATGATTTAAGGATCATCAACTACACTCATATTTTAATATTGAAAGTAACAATAACTATAAATGAAAACCAAATTTCAATATTATACTTGAAACCACTGACGTCAAAATACAAATTGTATCAGCTAATAGCCCCAAACTATAAAAATATCTTCTATAATCAAGTTTCAAACTTAATTTCAATCTTTTTCTCTCATAACCACTAAATTACAAAGGAAAATTAATAAAATAAAGTAACAAATTAAAGGATTAAGTCAATTTCGAAACCTATATGAGCCAAATCAACTCAGTTAGAGGTGATTTAAGAGGATTTTTCATAGAGAAAAATGAGTTCTGTTGATGAAGAACACATATTTAATTGTCACAATATTAAATATAGTATTCTTAAGAGGTTTATTGTATTTAGACTTAGGATAAATTCAATAAGTAAAAAGAATTTCCCTCATATGTCTGTTTTTAGCAGTAAATATGTAAATGTATATGTGCAGCATTTATAAATTTAAATTTCTTTGTGAATAAATATTCTGTTTCATCTTTTTTTTTAATATTCCTTTGTTGATTAAAAATGTTTTCTTTTTCAAGTTAAATTGGATAGTTCTTCAATCAATTGATAATTTATTGTATTTTATCCTTACAGTTTTATGTTTCACTATTAGTTATTTTTACTTGGTATATGCTGTGTGATAAAATTGAAAATATATTATAGCCAACAATCTCTAATTTCCCAAAAAAGTAATGAAAAATAAATAAAATAAGAGATGCAATATAAAATATCTACATTATGGTAAGAGGTAAACCATTTCATAAAAAATATTTTATATCAATGATCAGAAATGAATCTATACATCGAGGATCAAATTTTGAACTATTTAAAATTTTAATTATAGTGGATTTATAATAGTTAGTGTTGTCCAAAATCAGTCTTGGTGATATACTTTGCAAAATCAAGACCTGCTTAACTTGTAAGACCAAGACCAAGATTGATAAAAAAATCCTTTTTATGAATAAAAATTAAGTTAAAATAGTCAACCTTGAAATAGTTGTAATAGTAAAACTTGAAAAATTTAGTTACCATATGTAAGGAATTAGTGTAACCAATATCCTTTGGAATTTAACTCTCAATTTTTCATTTGGGCTTAGATTTCCCATGTCTGACAAATTACAGTAGTATATCTATAATAAGAAGCTGATAGGTAACTGGAAGACTGTTGCGAGACTTGCACAAGACCAAGACACCTCATGGTCTCGCATTTGGGCAACACTAGTTGTGGTATTCAGTCATAAGCAATATAAATAAATTATATTTATTAAATTTACATAAATAATTTATTTTTATTAAATTTACATTAAATAATTTATATTTATTAAATTTGCATTAAATAATTTATAATTACTAAATTTCCATTAAATAATTTGTATTTATTAAATTTAGATTAAATAATCTACATTTATTTAAAGTTTTTTTTTTCTAAAGGTGAATATTAAGAAGAAAAATAAAAATAGTTTCATGATTGCTGACTTAGAATTGAGTTTCTGGTTTTCCAATGAAAGTTAATTTTCACTCAGTTTTTGTTTAATGTTTTAATAATTAAATAAATTTGTTTGTGAAATTTGTCAGTGAGAGAGTAAGATGAATACAATGGAAATCTTAATATGCCTAAGTTTATTGGAATATATTATAAAAGAAATTAAACAGAAAAAAAAACAAATATTGTTCTTTGATTTTATTATTTATTTTCGAGAGATATAAGTGATTCATATGCTTCATACAGATTCTTCAACTTCAATTCTATCTCCCAAACCATTCTAGTAAATAATTTGTTGCAATAATTACTTTTTAAATTGAAATAACAAAGACAGACTATTCAAATATTAGTTTCCCGCCGATCCAATATGGCCGTCCTCTCCGTATGACCGCACTGTATTATTAGGAGGGGTTGTCTTGTCCCATCTACCTCACCTCCTTTTTAAGTAAATGTAGAAATTATATCGTTTAGGTTACATATTACCCGCCTTTTTTTAAAGTTAGCATTCTTTCCCCACCACTTCATAGGAAATAAATATCGATTGAACACCCATCCAATTTCCATCTTATCAACATAATATTATTTATGCTTATAGTTTATATGTATATATATAGGATTTCATTTATTATTTTTCTAGTATAAATTACTTTTAATTTTTGCATCATGGTTTTGTTAAATAGAGTTTTTACTTTCCATTTGAATTCCTAGCTTCCTAAGTATTGTTATTCCTAGTTATTGTGGATACTAATCCGAAAAAGTACAGGGGTTTGTGAATATCATTGGAGGAAAACAAAAATTGAATTTGTTTAACTTTCTTATTATAAATAATACAATTACAGGTAAAGTGTCACAAATGAAAAAACTTAAGTTAATCAACTTCTTTAATTTAGGATAAGGAAACCGAAAGCATTAATAATGATAAATCTCGAATGGGTGATAAATATTCAGGACGCTTTTTTTTTTTAATTTAAATTTTTTATTTTTGCCAGCGTTTCGACTTAAACATGTGGGTCATCTTCAGGGCGTGGTTTGAGCCCTGAGGGTGTTCAAGTACTGAGTACTGAGTACTTGAACACCCTCATTGCTCAAACCACTCCCTGAAGACGACCCACATGTTTAAGTCGAAACGCTGGCAAAAATAAAAAATTTAAATTAAAAAAAAAAAGCGTCCTGAATATTTATCACCCATTCGAGATTTATCATTATTAATGCTTGTTTGGGTTGAAACGTTGGCATAAATAAAAAATTAAAATTTTGTTTAAAAAAAGACTGCGTCCTGAATATTTATCACCCATGATATGTAGAACAGTCGACTAATTTCCTTCGATAAATCTCGAAGTTAAAAATACAAAAACAGGCAATATATAAACACAATAATCATAAATAATATTGGGAATATTTAATGCAAAAAAAAAATTGATCCAGGTAATATATGTAATGTAAGTTAGCTTAATTGATATACTGAAGATACCAAACAAATCGACAAGTTAAAAAAAAATGCTGCTAATATATATTGTAAAGGTCATATTTGGTAATTATTAGTAATTAAGGTAAGATGGAGGGGACAAGAGCTGACAAGACCTCTCCGCAATAGTGCCGCTTCCTGGTGGTATGTTTTGTAAACCTTATCTGAAACATTGCGGATAACATGAATTCAACCAAGATGTCCGAAGGAGTACCAGTTGTAAATAATTACCCAAATAAATAAGTTTTATTTATTTAATATAACAATGAAAATCTTTAGGTGTGAATATCTCCGTTTGCAGACATACCTTCATAGGATTTTTTTCTTGTTTTGTTGAGGTCCTTGATTCATATTTTCAGTTTGGCCACTTAACCCTGAAACATAATGTATATGGTGTATATGAAATGTATGTATACAGGTTGTCCCAAGAGTGGAGGGAATTTTTTACAGGAGTAAAAGCGGACGGCACAAGGCCTACAAAAAAGTTCATATAAACAATGGTCTAATTCTGAGCAGAAAAGGAGGAAATCCAAGTTAAGTATTTTTTTAAGTAAGCCATGCTTTTTGATGAATAGGAAGCGATAACTAAAGCAATATCTAGTTTAAGTAATTGACAATTGTTTCACTGTAAACTAAATGAAATTTTCTTCAAATTAAATTAGAGCTCATCATTGTTAAAATAATTTAAAGAGGACTTTTGAGCGGCTAAACTTGGCTAAGTTCGGTTTTTAAAAAAATCTTAAATTATTGACATTTTTTTTTTTTTATCATTATCCAACTGTACTGCAGATATTCCACTTTTAGAAAAACTACTTCGTTTAATAAGCTCCAAGACCATATATTAATTAAATTGAAGTTCATCAGGCAAATTCTTGAGATTCACCTCGAGTTGTGTAAAGAAATGTGATTTTTCATCTTGTCACCTAAAAGTACGCGTGTTTTCAGCAAAATTGACTACAGCTAACTGTTATTTCTTATTTTTCCATGATCTGGGATATATTATAATAAAAATAATTTCCTAAATACACTTTTTATTTATAAATAAAAAATAATAATAATGATTTGTTAAATACTCTTCATGTAAAGTATTTACGAAACTGTATTTTTCTTCCAGATCTCTATCAAAGAGGTTGATGTTTCTTGTCCTTGAGATTTAAGTTTTTATGAAAATAATTTAAGCAATCAGCAGGGTTTTTTTTTGTTTTTAAACGTAAATTTTAGGACTAGAAACATTAAATTTGTCACTTATAAATACGGATCAATTCCTATTAGACATCTGGGAGAAAACAGTTTTGTCAATACTTTACATGAAAAATGACTATTTTTTAATTTTTAATTTTAATAAATATAATGTGTTTATCACAATACATCCAATATAATGAGAAAAGAAGAAATAAAAGTATATCGACAGTTAATTGTAGTCATTTTTGCAGAAAACACGGGTACTTTAAGGTGACTGGATAGGAAATCACGTCATTTCTTTACACAACTTGACGTGAATCTCGAAGTTTTGTCTGATAAACCTCAACTTAATTGATATGAACTTAAAGCTTATTAAACGTCGTATTTTTCTAAAAGTGGGATAACTGCAGTATAGTTGGATGATAAAAAAAAAAAAAAAAATCGCGAATAATTTATGAATATTTTTAAAGCAGGACTTAGCTTAGTTTAGCCGCTCAAATGTCCTGTTAAAACGGTTTTAATAATGACAAACTTCCTTTCCAATTAAAGTAAATTTTATCTAGTTTACAGTGAAGTAATTGTCAATTACTTAAATTAAATATTTATTTTGTTATCGCTACATATTAAAAAAAAAATTGGTCTCTTAAAAAAAAAACACAGAACTTGGATTTCCTACTTTACTAATGAAAATTGGCCTATTGCTTATATGAACTTTCTTGTAGACCTTGAGGTCTCTATTCACGGGACATCCTGTATACATATTTTATTTTATTTTAATTTTAAGGATATTCAGTTGGAAAAAAAAATAGAAATGTTAAAAGAAAAAGATAAGTGTTAGCATTTTTTATTTTTTTAAATATAATCTTTACAAATTGGCACGACATGTTTGGTCAAAATACTCATGGGCACATAAAAAAATATACAGTAATGAGCTTAAATATTACAAATTATTACAGCATAATTACACATCAGTCTTTCATTAGTTTGGTAGTTACATGTAACATATATTGTCTAATTATTTCGGCAGTAGGTGTATCAATTGATTTAGGCACGCATCCAGTATGGTACACGGCTCTAGCCGTGCTACAGTCTGTACACATTGATCAAGCTCAAAATTATTTATACAACCGAATTTATAATTCAGTTGTATAATCAAGACTTATCATTATGAAAAATTCTATGGAATTTTGAGAAAGTTGAAAAAAAACATAATTTTTCCCAAAAAAAGTGTTGGTAATACCATCGCACTGCGGCTCTAACATGGTGTCTGGACCAGAAACACACTAAAATGGCTTTCGATACGGGTTCCAGGCTCCTCTTCGAGGTAAATTCCATCTCTCCAAAACTTGACATTTTCTTAATTTTTTAATTTTTAATTTGAATATTATAGCCTTAATTATTAATAATTACAAAACAACTTTCTGAATTCATTGATACTGTATGTTCATGAAGATAAAAATTATTGGTATTTTAGATATATAAAGTATTTTTTAATTGAATTGAGCATCCATTAATAAGGCTGCAAACAGCTTCACCAAGATCAAATGTTTGGTGAAGTTGTTTGCAGCCTTATTGTATCAATGATATGTTCATTTCATAAACTAAATGGAATTTTTTTTTTTACTTTTAACCATGACAGAAATGGCAGATAGGAACCCGTCGCGATTGCCGTTCAAGTCAGTTCCAGTCCTATCTCTCCATATTGGAGCCGTAGTGCAATAGCATTACGAAAATATTCCATTAAAGATTTTTTTTTTTTGCTGGTTTTTACCTCTCTTCAGTAAAGTAACCGCTTATTAGTACAAATGCACATACTTACAACACTAACACCAACAAATAATTACTACAACCTTTATTTATCAAAACAAAAATAAAACCCTGTTTTATACAGTTATAAAATTATTAAAAAATAAATACTTTTTATGTTGGTTTTATTTCATTAATCAGTACTATTCTCTCATGGTACAATAATTCCTATTTATAACTCTTCGTCATATTCTTATTTTAATATAATTTTTAAATTATTCATGTATTGATAATACGTACTTATACGTAAATAATGCAATTAATGGAAGAAAAAAATATACACAACGAACTTATAATCTAATAATAATATATATAATAGAAAACAAAATAAATGAAATGACTATACCGAAATCGGTACATACCCGTAGTCGTTTTTAACAGTACCTCAAGTAGCCCTTTATCAACCATCCACCATATAAAAAATTATTTAAAATGCAATATAGTATTAAAACAATATAATAAAAAATTAGGGCTGAAGCCCCTCCCAAAATAGTAAAATATAATCATGGATTATAATAAATATTTAAAAAAGTATTAGCGTGTGTGTATGTGTGTACGTAATTGTTTTTATTAGTGTAGTTTATTTTTGTTTGTTTTAGTTTATATACATTTACTTTTAGTATTATTTGTTTTTATTTATTGTAAATAGAGCGTGAATGCGCTCTCTGAACGCTATTATAAATGTCCTTATTTGTGACAGATTGTAATATCTATCAATAAATATAGTTAAATGATCTAAAAAAAGTATTATTGTTCATATAATTACATTTAATAGGGCTTCAAGAATCACCTAAACACCATATCATGCATAGTTTCTTTCTTTTTTTCCGAAGAAAGTATCGTTACATATATATATACATATCTAAGCATTCGGGCTGAAGACGTCCCCTCCCAAAAAATTATATCCTGGAACCACTAGTGAACATCACTATTGTATTAAATGGCAATTTTGTAAAAAACTAATTGATAATTAGTTAGTCTTTGCAAATGGCGGCATAAGCTGTAACTTGCCAGGGGAGAAAAATATATCAATAAAGACATGGATAAAAATATCACAGCCCTAACATTTTATTAGTATTAGAATTTTACTTCAAATAAAAAATATATATAAGAGTATAACAATATAATTAAATGTGATTACTTAAAGAAAAAAAATTATTTTAAAGTATTTCCTTTAAATGGGAATACTCTAATTTATGGTAATATTTTTCTTTAAAATTTGATGGTATCGTTGAGGCACTTCTAGTACTGTAATAAAAAAAAATAATTATTAAGTAACTAAAGAGGTGAACCACCATCCCATTCTTCAGAAAGCTCTTCCTCAGATTCAGTCATAGTGAGGTTATTGTTGTTGATGTTTTTATTCTTATGCCTAATCGACAGGTCCTCAGGTTCTGTTTGTTCAGGCAAAGAGAGGTATGCAGGAAGGACATTGACGATGGCTTGCGCTTTTCTATCCCTCGAATCACACTTGTGATGGAGGAGGTGGTGTCTCCTCCTAAACTTGGCACCGCACAAGCCACAGCCGAATGGTTTTTCTCCCTTGTGAATAAGAGAATGAGCCTTGAGTTGGTTAGAATCTGCAAACCTCGAAGAGCAAACTTGGCAAGCGTAAGGCCGTTCCCCGGTGTGTACCCGTAAGTGCCTCCTCAGGTTGGCTACTTGCACGAAATATCTATCACAATGGTCGCAATGATATGGTTTTTCTCCTGTATGTGTGCGTATATGGGTGCGAAGGTGATGGTCTCTTCGAAACCTTCTATGACACTCAGGACACTCGAACGGCCGTTCTCCTGTATGGGTTCTTTCGTGATTTTTAAGAACATGCTTGTGCTTGAAGGATTGATTGCAAGTGAGGCAGACAAAGGCTCTATCTCTCCCAGGAGGGGATTCGTCGTCCTTCTTCTTCCTACCTCCTGTCTCAGGTGGGGGTGCTGCCCAAAGCAATGGATGCGAAAAGAGGGCTCCACCCCCGATGCCATGGAGAGCCAAAAGACCCGGCATTCCCGCGGCTAACAGGCCAGCCTCGGTGCCACCTTCTTCGCGGCTGCTTGCTTCTTTCATTGTACACCTTCCGACTACCGAAGTCAAGCCTGAAAAAGAAAATTAAACATAAAAATATTGCCAAAAATTCGAAATGAGGACACATGATATGGAAAAACAGTCATGATAGCCCTGGAGCCAGGGCCTAAAAATCGACCTGATCGCAGGCGAAGGTTTGATTGTAAATTACGAAAGTGTATGTTATTCTGAGTAAAAAAAACCTTGTCTTCCGTTCCAGAGCCGCTGCTTTCAAAAATGGCGGCTGATTTAAAGAATATTAGGCCAGTAATTTGAGGATCGAAACGGGAAATCCATTGCAAAAAATGTGAGAAAAGTTTTTATTTTTTTAACTTGTATATATGGGTTTAGACATGTAAAAAACAAAATTGCTAACGCGGGCCACCAAAGGAAAACTTTTTACAGCCAAAAAAGTCAGATTTTTTCGATATTTTTTGGGTTTTTCACCTATAACTCCTAAACAATGCATCAAAGCGAAAAGTGTATTCTTTAATAAATTAAAGGACGTTAAATTTTGCGTCAAACGAGTACATAAATTTGGTTACGCGGTAAGGTATAAAACCACGGTCAACCAACACTGAACTTTACCGAATTTGTCAAAAACTGAGACAAATTACTATAAATGTCCATGTAACTTGGAAATGAGTTCCCTAAGAGGAAAAACCCATAGAATCAAAGTTGTAGAGCATCACATTTTGCGTCCATTGAGTACTGACATTTTTATTTTAGGCCAATTATACATCTTGAATCGGGATTCGTTAGTCCTTTATAAAATTCGGAATCTTTCGGCACATCGTTTACCAAAATGTTTTGCTGTTGAGAGGTGGAAAAGAAGCTTATACTGCATGTAACAGACTTTAAACAAAACTAACTCATTAGAAAAGACCCCCATACGGTTGAAATATTGAAAATCAGGTTTACTTTCATTACCAATTTTTAACTATCGGGAGATTACCGATTTTTTTTCGCAGCCAGTGACCTACATTAAATTAGTTGGTACTCAGTTGACACAAAATTTGATGCTTTACAACTTTGATTCTATGGGTTTTTCCATTAGGGAACTCATTTCCAAGTTACAGGACCATTTATAGTAATTTTTCTCAGTTTTTGACAAATTTGGTAAAACTCAGCTTTGGTTGACCGTGGTTTTATACCTTACGGCGTAACCAAATTTATTGTTTATGTAATCGTTTGATGCAAAATTTAACGTTCTTTAATTTGTTAAAGAGTACATTTTTCGCTTTGATGCATTGTTTAGGAGTTATAGGTGAAAAACCCAAAAAATATTGAAAAAATCTGACTTTTTTGACTGTAAAAAGTTTTCCCTTGGTGGCCCGCGTTAGCAATTTTGTTTTTTACTTGTCTAAACCCATATATACAAGTTTAAAAAAATAAAAACTTTTCTCACATTTTTCGCAATGGATTTCCCGTTTCGATCCTCAAATTATTGGCCTAATATATTTTAAATCAGCCGCCATTTTTGAAAGCAGCGGCTCTGGAACGGCAGACAAGGTTTTTTTTACTCAGAATAACATACACTTTCGTTATTTACAAACTAACCTTCGCCTGCGATAAGGTCGATTTTTGGGCCCTGGCTCCAGGGCTATGATAGACAGATACTTGTCAGCTGGCCTAACTAGTATTTAGCAGATGAAGGTAACAATAACTACGGAACATGAATGCAATTAAAACATGTTACGTACATTAGAATTATAGATTTTCCAAATAAAATTTGTGGACTACTATTTTCGATATCAGTAAAAAAAAAGAATAAAATAAAATTTTTAAAAAAATTATTAAATGTATTTAGTTTATAGTTTATAGCTACTGAGTTAAACGTTAGAGAAATACACAGGATGGATGATCACTTAACATACTGCTCAACAATTGTATTTAGAAGGCTGTAAGCACGGTGTTATAAAACGTTATTGTTTAAAAGATATAGCAATGTTCGCATACATTATGACAGGTTTGCTTTCGATAATGACAAATGTTATGTAATATAATACATATAATGTAATAAACGTATTACATAATAGGCAAAAAAGTAAAAAAAAAAAAAAAAACAAGTAAAGATAAACATTAATTCTGGCCAAACGACCGATTACATCACGAGAAACTAGAATAAATATAATATTGTCATAGAAAAAATAACATTTTATTAATATATATATTTATTAAACAAAATGTAGGACAAAATAAACATAATTGTATGGTATCAGTAATAAATAAACAAAAATAATAGTAATACAGAATGAATTAATATAACTTCAAGGACTCCAATTGGAGTTCTGTATTAGAAGGCCACGAAGACATCTTCTTTTCTTAAACGCCTTGGGAGGATTGTCAGTAATCGAAGAGGATGCAAGACTAGAAACTATTACGTTGGGATGGTTTTATTAATTTAAATTGCTTTTCTATCCTTTTCTTTCTTCTAATATTTATATTGTATCATTTATATCTCATACCTTATCATACATATAAGGTAATAAGCTTCAATGTTTTGTAAGATAAAAAATAAAATATAATTAAATCGTTAAATTAATTAATCTTTTATCCATTCTATTTATTTATTTATTTTAAAATATATTGTTGTATTCACTTTTAACTTTTTGTTATTTACTGATTGCGAAAGCATTATCTGTTTATATACATAATTTTATTTGTTAAGTTAAAATATTCTTTACTTTTATCATTATACATTATCACTACTTATCATTTTTTTATATATTTATTTGTTCATTTTTGCTTCGTTATAATTATTTTTTTTTATTTTGTTCTTAATTATTTTTATTCATTTTTCTAGTATGTATATATTGTATGAATGGACAGGTTTAGCGTTAATACTTATTGCCCTTGTGGGTGTGACAGATTATGTTAATTTTCAATGATTTTTTTTTAAATATAGAATTAATTAATATCTTCATTATTATAATTTAAAAATGGATCACACAAACGTCCATTATTATAATAATGTTTTTCACATCTTTAAATACGATGGAATGGGATAAATTTTTAAAAAAGTCTCAGGAGTTTATATATTTCGGATGAATACATTAAATGAAAAAAAAATTATTTCCTCATTGGGCCTCCGGAAGAGGAAAAAGGAAAAGGAAAAAACCGTAGGAGGCGGTGGTGGGGCAGTGGCCATTTTGTTAGGGGCTAGATCGATCCTGGCTCCGGATTGGCCCCTTACCATCGGGCCCCCTAAATCTATATCCACTGGACGTCAAAGCCAATCTCTTGGTCAGTTTCCCCTTTGTACTTCCTAATGGAGGGGGCTTGGACAATAGGGAACTTCGCCTATTGTCATGGAAAATAATGCTAATTTTATCTAGGAGCTAGGGGTCAACGGATACAGAATTCGTTAATACAGCAGATGTTCTCCTAGGAGGGTATGCAATAAATAAATTTCAATAAAAATAGGCCAAAGCAACGCATGCTGATAAATTGAGAACCATGGCAAGCCTACACGAAGAAAAAAAAAATTGAAAAATCTGTTTCTTAGATATCTTACAGTTTAAAAATTTGTAATGAAATTATTAGAATTATAAGAAAACAAAAGTATCTAGAATTTCAACTTTTATATGTTATACATATAAGCCAGCGTAACCTACTCATTTAGTATCATCAATATGTGAAAAAATACGTAAAATATTAATTTTATATAGAAGCCTAGGGATCAACGGATACAAAATTCGTTCACCTAGGAGGACATGCAATACATAAAATTCAATAAAAATAGGCGAAATCAACGCACGCTAATAAGTTAAAAACGACGTTTAGACCAACATTAATACTAATTTCTAGATTGCAACCAGTGTTAATCTCTTGTCAGTAAAAATCCTAGCTTGAAAACTCATACGATCTTACTAGGTAACATGTTGTAACTGAAATAAATAAATATAAAAATAATTTTTTAAAAATGGTGATAACCTTTCATTTTTTATTAACCTTACCTTGAAAAAAACCTGTAAACAATTAAAGCTGTATGAAGGAATATAATAATAATATATTAGTAATTTAGATATAATTGCAATTTATCCGTTTACAAAGCAACGAAAGTTAACTACTTTGACTTACCCAATTTTGGGGAATATCCTGTAAGAACATTATTATTATTTTAAAAAATGTACATAAAATATTTATATTAAGTTAGTTTTGAAATGTTGAATGTTTCATGTTAAAAATTAATGGTTCATGATAGCACCTATAATATATTACTTGTATAATTTTAGATGCTGAAGATGGGGAACAGAAGTTCCTCAAAACGTTTATTAATAAATAATAATCAAAAACTAAGTGAGATTATTTATTCGATTGACCTATAGACTAATAATTGTGGAAAGTTAAATATATATCATCTAAATATAGATAATAGCAGGTTAGGATAGTTCTTGAACGAATCTAGACTTTATTTAAAAAAATATATAATTTTGATACGCAAGCAAACATTTTGTTAGATCGAATCTCCGTACCTCATGCAACACCTTAAAATGAATTTATTGAAGCACGTTATTTCATTTATCGATACTGTGAAATTTAATAGCATATTAAGTTTATGTACTTGAAAAATAAGCTTTAAAATAAATAGATTGTTCAGCAAATTTAGTTTTATTAATTTTAATATTTTGTTTTCAAGGGAAATATGTACAATAAAAATTATTGTGAATTTATTAAAAGTGTGTTATATTGAGGAAATTTTAAATTAATTGTAAATAAATTAATTGATATTTTTTTAATAGCAAATTTTTAAAATGGGGATAGAGCACTGAAACGTTAGTTAATAAATACAATATATTACATGAAAGTCTTTATTTTTGCAATACAAAAAGAAAAAATCTTTTTAGAGTTTCCAAAAAATCAATAGAAGAAATCAAAACCCATATCGATTGTAAATCACGATTAATAAATAAAATTGTTATGAATTAATTTATTAATATAAAATATATATAATGTTAAATCGAAGGAATACAACAGTTACTTTATGTAACTGCCGAATCACGCCAGTAAACAAAATAACTAGTTAAACCCAACAGATATAACAACAAGTTAAGAAGATTTTAGGTCTTAAGTTAGTACTTTTAACCTTCTTAATACCATTTTGTTTGTTAAACATATGGCATAAATTATTTATTGTACTAAACCATTATGCGTTATGTTATTCCGAATTATTTCAAGTTTTAATTTTTCTTTTCTTGATAATCGGTTTTCTAATTATCACGACGCATCAGCAATGGCGTCTGCTAACTTGTTCAAACCTTCTTCCGGTTTTGGTAGGGACTCCTTTATTGATTTTTCCTCCCTAACCTCACCCCCACTCTTTCTATTGTGTATTTTGGGGCAAAACCTGATAGTTCCGTACAACGGATAGTAAATAGTAGAGAAAAAAAAAACTAAACCTATATAAATTGACAATAAATAAAAGTTAACAAATAAGATTAATTGATAACTGAAATTTGGTTGTTATTGCCTCGGCGGTCTTGATTATATAAAAAGTAGTTGGGAAAAAAATTTATAATGTTGCCTTTTCAGTTAAAACAATGATTTTGAGACTTAGAGAAATACAAATTAGATATTTGAAATTAAGTAATCAATATGTTCTTATAAAATGATAAGCAATGCTTGGATAACATAAATTTATTTGAATTGGATAATATAAATGTCCATTTGTGAGGCTGGTCTTAGATTTTATCCAGCCCACAAATATATTAGTCCTTTGCGGGCGAAAAGTGGTTTCCGCAATATCGGACTAGTAATAAAAAATATAGTGAAAATTGTCTGACTGATCTTTTAAAAATATAAATGGACAACAATCTATTTCTTCATATTGTGAGTTTTTATTTAAAATCAATGACTCACATATTGAAAAAAAAAAGGCCTAAGCAGGTTTGATACATCAATAAATATAGATAATTCATTTATGATCAGTATACAACATTTTTTGGGACAAGAACAACCTATGCGTATAGACCGAATCGTCAACAATATTTTTACTTCAAAATGATAATATAATCCCTTAAATAGGAAATAAATTGCAACTCTTCGTCATCAACTAATTTTAGAATTGACAATGAAAATTCACAACACGTATATAATGCTATATTTTATTTTTATTACGTTTGATCCTATTTATTTTCCTATGTTGAATCATAAATTTATACATATCATAGTTTTTCTAGCTAACAATAATAAGATCAATTAAACGATAGCTAAAATTTTATTTCCATTGTGCTTTGGCGGACTTGCGAGAGGGGAAACAACTTCACAATTTTGCCTTACAAATAAGGCAAAAAGGAAATAATTGATACATTATTTAAAATAAATAAATAATATATCATGATGATAAGATTCAAAAAAAGAAGTAAAAGTAATATATTAAAAAAATAATAAATATATAACGATCTCGTGTCACCAATTATTTTGTAGAATTACTTATGAAGATTCATATCACATATAATTTTATATGTCATTTATTGATATAAATACATTTCGGAATGATAATATCACAATATGGAATGATTGATAACAATAGATTGAATGGAAGGGGTTTGAATGGGCCTCCTATAAATTTATATCCACTGTACCTGTTGCCTCGACGTAGAAGGGTTCTTTTCATTGTTCGCTTCCATTGGACCAATCAGTTTTTAATGGACACGAACGAGCAGGTTCATCTTTTAAAAAACGTTACTTAATTTTCGGATAAATTAAAAAAAAAGGAGAAATATTATGTTCTGAAAATTTAAATAATTTTAATTCAATATGTATATTCTTTTTTAAATATAGGTTATTGACAAAGTTAATCAAAAATTGTACTTCTTCTTTCTTCATTTTTTTTTTCTTCAAATAATGTACGGTAAAATTGGTTCAACTTCAAAAGAAATAAAATAATATTATCGTGAAAATAATTAAAAATTTTAATATTTAAATTAAATAGGGAGGACGAGAACACGAGAAGTGTTTATCATAATTGGTAACTTTTTATATCGTTTATATTAATTTTTTCTGGTTTCACATATTTTTCTCTCTTCTTTTTCTTACTATTTTTGTGTGTTCTTCTTTTGCGGTCAGGATCATTTTCTTAGTAATCTGATGAATTCGGACTACTACGAAATATAATAAAACTGTAATAAGAATCAATAAAAAAAAATGTTTTCTATATATCTTATTAACAATTGTGGGAGGAAACGTTCTTTTTTCAAGACATGGGGGGTTTTTTACCCAGAAATTTTCGGATAACTTAAATTTTCATAAAGTTGAAGCGCACTTACTCAGCCTCCTATGGCTTTTAATACCAGTGAAGTGTTTGAGAGAGAAACGCAGGGATCTCCTGAAGCCTCGCTTTTCCCTCCACATGTGGGGGAACAAGTCTGGTTCGGAGTTCCCACGGCCAATTGTGAATAGTGTAAATAGGTAGGCCTGCGTCTAAGATGTTTGTTTTTATTACTTTTTTTTTTAAAACATTTTAATTCTATTTTATTTATTTAGTTTAATTTTATTATTAGTATTATTTATAATTTCTTCTTTCAATATGATATTCTATGTTGTTCTTATTTCGCTATATATTATTTTGAAATTACCTAATTTATTTTTTGATTTTGTAAATATGGTGTGAATGTGCCCTCTGAACTCTATTATAAATATCCTTTATTGAGACAGATTGTAATATTTATCAATAAACAAGTAATGCACTTTAAAAAAAAAAAAAGTTCATAATGTTATGTAATTTGTTGTACTGAATCGAATGGTAAAGTACGTTTGATAGTTACTGTACTTATACATAGAATACAAGGTTGTTTTATCATTATACAGGTATATTTTGTTAATGATATATTGAAGATAAACTAAGTGAATTTATAGACGAAAATATATATCTTAAATTTTTAACAATGAGGTATGACTTCAAGTTAAAATACTTTAATATTTTACGGGTCATTTTTTTATTTTATTGAACTGAGCTATTTAATTCAATTGAATGATATTTCAGTTTTAAAAAATAATGTTCTACTGAACGATATGTAAATACTAGTTGGACAGACATTCATATTGTTCCTGTCAATGTAATTTGTTATCTAATAACAATGAATTTTTTTCAGATTAATAAAATCAATTCTTAAACCAAGTTAGAAATTAAATTAAGCGTTAACTAACAACTTTATAACAGTCTGTGCAATACCAGTAGGTATTGACACATATATC